CTATTGAGGGCCTTTTATGGCTCCACACAAATTATAGAAGTGTTTTTTTTTTTTTTCCATTAAAAAAAAGTCACTGGGATCTTGATAGTGGCATCAAATATATAGATGGCTTCTGATAGTATTGATATTTTAACCACACTAGTTCTTCTAATTAATGAACACATGATATCTTTCCACTTATTTTGGTCTTCTTTGATTTCTTTCATCAGTGTCTTATGGTTTTTGGTGGAGAGATCTTTCATCTTTTTAAACATATTCTAAATATTTCATTGTTTTTGATGCTATTGCAAATGGGGTCAGTTTCTTTATTTCTTTTCAGAAATTTTGTCATTAGGCAAGTCTGAACATGAGTATGGGCAGGGCTGGCTGACACTTTCAGTGTACACTCTTTATGGCTATCGGTCAGCATTGCCCAAGTGTGGGCAATTCAGCATCTGAGCTAGAATAGCCCAATCTATTTTCTTGCTTCATTGTGGAATGCTCCTTTGACCTTCAACTCAGCTGGGCTTCAGCGGAGGCACCATTTGCCTATTTTTCCTCATTGTGGTGGTGAAATACAAATAAGGTCGTCTTTGATGTGTTAGAGCCTCGAGAGCAATTTCTGGCTTTCTTTCCTGAAGCCAAAGTCTTCCCAAACCTCAGGACGAGGGAGATGATCTTAGCAATGGTGTGAATCACACAGGAGTCTGGCTGGTGAGCAGGATGCCTTATATACAGGGTGCATTTGTTACCAAATTGGTCTGTTAGTGAGTATCCTTGAAACTCCAGGACAGAAGAGAAAGGAATTTTTTTTTTTTTTAAGCAGAGAGAAAGTTAGAAGGCAATTAGTATGTACTAATTAAGAATAATACTGACACTACTTTGAATTTTAGTGCCTAGAATGAGAGCTGATTCGGGCGTCTTGCCAGACTTGATATCTATGACTGCTGTCTTTCAAGTTGTCACGAATCCATGTTGAGATATGACCGTGGTGCCCCGTTTTGAAACAGTAATTGCCAACATTGTTTATCGAGGAGATTTTACACCCTCACTTAGACATCTAATTTCACACAGCATCTGCTATTAATGTCACTGACTCAAGTATTTAGTAAAAAGCGAGGGAAGTAAATGAAGAAGATAAAAATATGGGTAAGTCATCACCATGGAGGCAAAAAGCCTTTTGCTTGGACATTCAGCACCCTAGAAGCCATCGTCCTGGTAATCGAATGTGCGCCACGTGCTGCCAAGTACCCTGGGCCGTCACATCTGCCGTCGCCACCTGTGATCATTTTCTTCTTCTTCTGCACTAAATAATCAATTACAAGATCCAGGGTTTTTCTCCCCTCACTCATTTATTACTGGCTCAAGACCTTGCTTCCAGTAGTGCCAGAGTGAGAGCATGAGAGTTTTCTGCTTCAGAGGACGGGGGACGATGCCTGAATCATTATTAGCTGCGCTAAGGATGAACACAACCATTGACAAAGCAGGTGCGCATCTGTTCTGAAAACGGTTTTCAGAATGTAAAACCTCACAAAACTCAGTGCTGAAGGTTTATGGTTGAGTCAAGATCTCTCTGAGCTCCTGTTGGGAGTGTTAAATTGTCACAAACTTTCTGGAGAGCGGGAGATCCCCTGGAGGAGGGAATGGCAACCCACTCCAGTATCCTTGCCTGGGAAATCTCATGGACAGAGGAGTCTGGTGGGCTACAGTCCATGGGGCCACATGTTCAGACATGACTGAACATAAGCACTATATGTATGTATATCTATCTCAACGTTGTTGTTTAGTTGTTAAGTCATGTCTGGCACTTGTGACCCCATGGACTAGAGCCAGCCAGGATCCTCTGTCCATGGGGTTTCCCAGACAAAAACACTGGAGTGGGTTGCCATTTCTTTCTCTAGGGGATCTTCCCGACCCAGGGATAGAACCCATGTCTTGCATTTACAGATGGATTCTTTAGTGCTGAGCCCCCAGGGAAGCCCCACGTATCAACAATAACTCCTGCCTAAATGTTCACTAAAAGGGGAAACATTGTACAATAATGGAGTACCATGCAGTCATTAAAAATAACGTGTACTGAGTTTTTAATGGAGTGGTATGGTTTCCAATTATACTGATAAAATATTAAGCTAAAGAAGAAGAATATAAAACTATATATACTATACCCTCAAGATACACATGCTTGGGAGAGAGAAGGATGATTTTTAATTTTCTATTTATGCCACTCTATATCTTTAAAAATTTCCACAATGAACAAACAGCATATAGATTTGTATTTGTGTGTGAATGTGCAATGACATGATATTTTAAATATGCATGCAGAAAGTAAAATACTCTTCAAAATATTCTTATTATTCTGGGCAGTGTAAAAATTACCAAGTCTTCTATTATTTTGAGGTCTACCCTTATTAGCAGATGCTTGAGTTTTCTTTAGTCTTTCTTAGATAGAAGGTGGGCACCGTATCTAATGGTCCTTGTGGTGTACACTTGGGGCTAGGTAAAAGTAAGGCTAATATGAAATAGGATCAGATACTTGTCTGCTCACACTGCGTCTCCTAATGGTACAACACGGGGGTTGCCTTCATGCCCCAGTTAGGCTGGTGCTGCAAAGCTATTCAAAGAAGCCTTTGGCACAAAATAAACTTGGAATGGAGGTTGTCTCTGACTTAGGGTGAGGTGTACTGGAGATCTTAGATGTTGAGCAGCACCTGGAAGTTTCTTAGAAATGTCCCATCTGACCGATTGCATCGAAAGCTGCCGTTAGTAAGATCCTCAGGGGAGTCCTGGGCACGTTCCAGGTTGAGAAATGCCCCTGGAGAGGGTGACAAGGGAGCGTTGATGGTGGGACTGGGAACCCTGGGGGGGGTGTTCAAAGCCCCCTGCCCTTCTTCAGAAGGGGAGTTGGGGATCAGGGTGATTGATTTTCTGTAAGTGGCAGGGAATCAGCTTCACAAGTAAGTGTAACCCGCATCAGGCCTATTGAGATGACGTGTGAATCAGAGCTCACCGGTGATGAAGAATGAAGGCGGAGTCCAATGGTGTGCGTGGCGGGGTGTTGTGGGCTACAGAACAGTCCCGAAAATCCCCTTACAGGGGTGTGGCCCCAGTGCCCAGGCTGCGAAGGTGAGCCCCGCAGAGGGCAGTGCTCCTGAAATTTGTTGGCCTCCCTACTTGCATTGAAAGGATGAAACTGGCTCATCTTTGTATATTTTTTTCTAAAGAAAGAAAGACAGAATGTGTCCAAAGTGAGTTTTGTGTGCCCATAGGTCAGTATTCGGCTGAGACCTCTTCTTCCCTTTAGTTTGAACCTTCTCTCCAGAGAGCTCTTGTCAGAGGTCCCTGTGTCTCTGGTCACATGCAGTGAACCCACCTATGGATCCAAAGTCCGCTGAGAGGTAGTAGACACACCTGACCTCAGACCTGTGCTGGATCTGCTAGAAAAAAGCCAGAAAAACCAAGAAAATAAGGAACTTCTGCTGGTCTTTTTACAAAGAATGAATGGACTCGATCTAAAGGGTAGACCTTTAACTGATACTAAAATCTTTTTTTGCTTTTCCCATTTTCCCCTTTTACTATAATGACTTTTTTAATATTCCTGGCCCAAAAAAGTGTGAGTCAGACACTTAGCCTTTTTGCCCTTTTTTCGCAGGTCTGTCTGAAGGGCCTGTGCATTTTAAAGAAACTGACGTTTCTTTCATCCGTTGGAGATCTGATCTAGGCTCTGGGCACAAAACCACTCACTTAGGGGGAGCAATCTGCCCATTAACTTCTATTAATGGTGTGTTCACCCAGCCCCCTCCAGACACACCTACCACCCCCACTTCATCAGAGATCCCTCCTGAGGAATGAGCTGAAACTGGACCCATTTCTACCTGGCTTAAAAAACAGAAGAGACACACGGGGACTTCCTTGGTGGTCCTGTGGCTAAGACTTCAAGCTCCTCCAATGCAGGGGGTCTGATCCCGGGTCAGGGAATTAGATCCTGCATGCTGCAACTGAAGGATCCCTCAGGTCGCAACTAAGACCTGGTGCAGCCAAGTAAATATGAATAAATGAACAAATAAAACATTTTAAAAATAAATAAAATCCTCTCTGCATTGGCAATGCCCAAATTAAAAAAAAAAGAAAAGAAAAAAAGAAGTGACGCGTTGTCTTCCAACCTTAACTACAGGGATTCAGAATAAGCAGAGGAGTCGCTGGAACCCAAGGGGTATCAGCAGTGCTGGCCCAGACATCCTTCCATCCCGCGCCCCGGGAAGCCTGAACCCCTTGGCGCTGGGCTCGGCATCCCGGCCCTGCTGGCCACGTTCCCACTTCTCACTTCTGCTTTCGCCTGCTGAACCGGTTTGGACCCTGTCACTGTGCTGCAAACAACTGACTCCCATCTGCACCCTGCCCCCAACTCCACTCTTTCTCGCCACCCAGCCTCCTCAGACCTCCAGACTCCTGCCCTGGTGGGGAGTGGGGGGATTCTCACCTTTCCCACAAGGAACTCACAACACTTCCTAGTGCTGTGACGGTACAAATCTCACCCTGGCACACCCCTATTAGCAAAGAGTTAGCTGTGACACATGCCCCTGACCAAAAAGAAAAAAAAAAAAAATAGAAGCGTGAATTAGCAGTTGTCCACCTGGGCATTTTGGGGGTCTCAGACCTGGAAGCCGAGAGCCCTGTGGGACTGGCTATGACCTCGTGGAGCTCAGGAAAGCAAACAGTGGCACACGCTCGATTTTGCCCTAGGCTGCCTGGGGTGGGCACGGGGCTGAGTCTAAGCTGCCAATCTTGTTAGACCTCCCCGTGCGTGGATGAGGGGCTGGACGGTCCACGCTGGCTACCAGCAGACCTGGACCCTGCGCACGCGTGGCCTCTGCATTCAGGCTGCGGTTGTCTGAGGACAGGGCTGCGGCCTCACTGGCATCTCCACCCGATGCTGACAGCTGCTCTTAACCTTGTCCACTCACACAGGCTTCCATGCGGGGGACGCTCTTTCTCCTTGAGCATCCCCGTCACAGGCGATAATGTCACGCCGCGGCACACTGCCCGGGCGCCAGCGCTTGGCCGTCCTTGTGCCGGGAGGACACTGGGAGGAGGAGCCGGGGCCCAGCTGCCGTGGCTCGTAGGAGGCCTGTGATGGCTCGGGCTCGTAACCGAGCGCTTTGAAGCCTGGCTTTCACCCTTTCCATCCCTTCAATCCAGGAAGGATGCTGCTTTCCCGGGGTCTCCATTTCCCACTGTGCTCCTGGCAGAGACTGAAGCACGCAAGACCAAGATTCAAGTAACTTGAATCACAAACACCTTGACATTTTGTTCCAGAAGGAGAATGTCCCCGAGGTTTATGCCAGGAAGCCAGACAGCCTGTTTGGATGTGTTTAAACAGGTGGCCTTTGCCGCTTCATCTGGGAATTGAGATGGGTTCAGCAAGTCCCTGTCACAGCCCACCTTCAGTACCAGGTCCTGGCGATATAAAGATGAATAAAAGCAACGAGCCAAACAAATACATATTTAGTGTGAAATTTGTAAATGTATGTATTGTGGTTTAGTGGCTAAGTCATGTCTGACTCTTTGTGACCCCATGGATTGTAGCCGGCCAGTCTCCTCTGTCTGTGGGATTTTCCAGGCAAGAATACTGGAGTGGGTGGCCATTTCTTTCTCCAGGGGATCTTCCTGACCCAGGGATTGAACCTGGGTCTCCTGCACTGCAGGTAGATTCTTTACCATCTGAGCTACACTCTGGAAATAGACAGGGAAGAGAATTGGGCGATTCAAGTTCAAGGCTTACCTGGTGGCTCACTGGTAAAGAGTCCTCTGCCAATGCAGAAGACATGGGTTCTATCCCTGGGTCAGGAAGATCCCCTGGAGAAGGGAATGGCAAGCCACTCCAGCATTCTTGCCTGGAAAATCCCATGGACAGAGGAGACTGGCCGGCTACAGTCCATGGGGTCACAAAGAGTCGGACATGACTTAGCCACTAAACCACCACGGTTGGTTCAGAGTCGGGTGTAAGGTCTTTGAAAGGAGGAGTTGGGTAGGATGGACCAGGTTGTGCTGCAGAAGCAGCTGCCCCAGATCTCAGAGGCTTGAACTGTAAATATTACCTGTGCGTCTGATGGAAAAGGCAAGGAGGCCTACCCTGCTGAGGTATACTGGGTTCAAGAGAACAGTTAATTAGGAATGATGGATGTATTTGCTTGTAACATGATGTCTCTTATCAGAACACCTTTGCCTCAGTGCCTGCAGGGCACTAGATGCTGAGAGCATATATCCAAGGAAATAAAGGGTGGGCAGGAAAGAAAGACCACAGACCACAATGCACTTCCAAGTAGGGGGTCAGAGCTGGCCTTAGGTGTCCTCGAGTCCCCAGTCCTGCCAGACAGTCATCAGGTTTGCCGACTCCATGGCCAGCGTGAGCTCAGAGAGCTCTGTGTGCGAGAGGGCAGGCTGCCAGGATAGAGGGTTGACTGGAAAGCTTGACCCCACCCAGAGATGCTTTCAGTTAAACAGTCTGAGCTTTGAAACTCAGCCTCGAGTGAAATAAGCTGTATTGTCTCCACCGACCTTGGACCTTGTTGCAGTGACCAACAGCTAAAACCCGAGACCCTTACGACAGCAGGAGTTGATTTCTTGCCGGTGTGACTGTGCTGGTGGAGTGCCCGGGTCAGCCGGCCATGGTTTCAGGGTGAGAGGTGTGCGTGAGCTGCTCCACGGCCAGGCAGGAATGTCACAGCTGACCAGACAGAGCTGAGTGGCAGAAGAACGTGGGTTTACAAGCCAAGTGCAGGTATTGCCTATGGGGCTCAGTTTCCATGGCAGAGACATAGTCACATGGCTGCATCTGGGTGTAAGAGGGGCTGCGAAATGACATCTTAAATGTGCCCAAAGAAGGGACATACTTGGAGCCTTTGGAAGTGAGGGACATGTGGACTAGAAGGACTTAAAGTCACAGGCTACTCTGAAACCTGTCTATCTTTACCTTTTTTGTCTAGGAAAACTGTGATCTGGATGGTTTACTGTATAGAGCATAAACTCATTATTAAGAATGTGCCCTGGATTAGTGTAAGGATTGATGTGCAGCTGCTAAGTTGTGTCCAAATCTTTGCAACCCCATGTACTGCACCAGGCTTCCCTGTCCTTCACTACTTTTTGGAGTTTGCACCAACTCATGTCCATTGAGTCAGTGATACCATCCAAACATCTCATCCTGTCTTCCCCTTCTCCTCCTGCCTTTGATCTCTCCCAGCATCAGAGTCTTTTCCAATGAGTTGGCTCTTCTCATCAGGTGGCCAAAGGACTGGAGCTTCAGCTTCAGCATCAGTCCTTCCAATGAATATTCAGGGTTGATTTCCTTTAGGATTGACTGGTTTGATCTCCTTGCAGTCCAGGAGACTCTCAGGGACAAAGATGCTTCCCCTTAAAGCCAAGCCATCTGCTGGCTCAGGAGTGCCACGTAACATAGAAAGAGGTCATCGCTTCCTGAGAACAGATCTGTCCCCTGGCACTTAGACAGTCTCTGCCATCTGGGGTGACTCACCTCTGTCTGGGCAAGTGAGGGGCATGATTTCTCGATTTTGCAATTGTCCCTACCGCTGCCAGTGTTCAGGGCTGGTATGCACTCCTGGGATTCACGGGGACTCAGAACCACATAGCCAGTGAGGGCAACTCCAGCCGTCCCCCGTGGTCCATGCCAGAGTCCATCTGGCCTCTCAGAGGAGCCACTTGACCATAAATCCACTTCGTCCAGTACAAATCCCTCACCACTCTAGCTGAGAATCAGCGCTTGACTTTCTCTGGCGATTCAGTAAACAGGTGTCTTGAGATAGCCACAGGAACCACTATAGTTGCTGGATTTACCCGAGTCTATTCAGAAGTATTTGTTGTATACATGGGAATGCAACTGAGTTGGGGTTTTGCTGCTTGGGCTTGCTACTGGAGTTCTGTCGCACAGCCAGCTGTGTGAGGCATCCCAGCCGTCTGCCTACGGGAGAGATGCTACGTATGATAGCACAACCTGAAATGATCTGTGTTCTCAGTTGTTTAACACCATCAGAATTTCATTGAATGTAATCACGTTAAGGTAAAAGGCATTTAAACTGCTAATGGACTGGGTCATTGACGCTATTAATGTTCTCAATACAACATTTAATTACTGTACAAGCTCTTTTTCAAGATCACATTTCCTGGGATCTGTTGGAGCTATCTAGTTAGAGATACTTCAGCAGATAATAATGAACAAAACAGCCCTTCCATAGTCTAGGAGAAGTACGTAGTGCCTCTACGGTGAAGAGCGGGAGGCTACTGGCTCTGCACACATGCACAGACACCCAGCCATGCCTGCAGCAGCCTCGTGCCCCTGGGAAGCCTCTGTGATGCTCTGGAGAAGATGCAGGAGTCCCAGCGGCAGGTGGCATCAGGTCAGGCAGCACCATGGTCCTGGAGAGGAGGGGCGTCAGTGGGAGGGGCTGGGCTCCCTCTGGGCAGACACATAGGGACCCACGCCATCCTTCTAAGCCACAGAGGGGTCCCAGGCTCAGCCCAGTGGGGCCCTGCAGCAGGCTGGCTGGGAAGCAGGGGGCACATTCAATCTGGAGAAACGGAGCAGAGTTTCATGTAGGGAGCGTGTGTCCACTGTGGGCAGAATGCAGGGCAGCCTGAGAGAAGGGACGGATGCTGAGCTGCTCACCAGGGCCAGGGCCAGTCTTAGCCCAGGGAGGCAGGGGGAGTGGTCCACAGAACTGGATAGGGAGCTGCTGCCCGGCAGAAGCTGCGGCTGTAGGGCAGAGGGAGACCTGACATGGAGGAGGCTGGAGACCCCTCTCCCCCTAGATTCTTTGGGTCTCCTGCAGCCCTGCTCATGGATTAATGCTGCCGACACCTGTGACACATCCAAGGCCACTCTCCCTCCCAGCACAGAGCAGGACAGAGGGTGGGTATGAAGGCAGAGAGTAGGGCTACAGCTCAGCCATGACCTCTGACCTCGCAGGACGGAGGGACTCTCACTGCAAGGCTCATCTGCAGGACCTAAACCAGGAAGAAAGGACCCGGCTTATCCTCAGGGAAGGGAGAGCTGGACTAGAGGTGGGTCTGGGTTATAGTCGCAGGAGAGCCCTCACCAGCAGTGAGCCTGGGCAATTCTGGTGCCCCCTATATTCTTCTGTTCAAAGTAGTGATGGTGATGCTCACCACCCCCAAGGTTCCTGAGGCACTCAGGCAAGATCAGAAATGTAAGGAGTATGGCGGGCAGGGCTGAGGGGACTTAGCAGAGGCAGAGCTGCAAGGCGAGAGGCAGTGTGAGGTGTGGAGGAGAAACAGGGCAAATGTGACCGGCAGCGGGAAGGAAAGGGCCAGCTCTCCTGATGAGGGTGGCGAATGCCAAGCCTAGGAGCTCAGACTCTGCCTTGTAGAAGAGGAGACACTACAGGGCTTGGGCGGCAAGAGATGGGGGCTCAGCCTTTGCAGTGGCAAGTGGAGCAGAGTGAAGGGGCTGGAAGTGGAAAGGAACTTGCTGCAAGCTGGTTACGGGGATGAATTGTCTCAACAGTTGATCCAGAGAGGTTGGGAATGGACGATCTTGTGTTAGCTCCCTAGTGCTGTGAGACTTATTAGTACAGTCTTGACAGCTCAGAATGACAAATTATCAAATCCCACAGTTTCTGTCCATCCAAAGTAAGGATGCAGCTTGGCTGGGCTTTGATCAAGGTGGGTTTGCAGGACTGCAGTCTCATCTGAAGGCTCAGCTGGAGATCCTTCTGCTTCTAAAATCATGTGTTTGTTGGTGGCATTCTTTCTCTTGCAGCAGAAGGATCGGGAGCCTAAGGTTCCTGCTGGCAGTTGGCTGGAGACCACCCTCGGGGTCTGGCCATGTGGTCCTCTCCATAGGCCATCTCACAAAGTGAGCAAAGGAGACTCTATCCAAGCAAGGCCAGTGTTACATTGGTGAGCAGTGTGATTGTGTGTGCAATCCATGCCTCCTGACTTTGCCACGTTCTGTGGGTGAGAAGTTAGTCAAGGTTCCCTTGCATTCCAAGGCTGGGGAGGGGTCCCACAAAAGGGTGTGAACACCATGAGGAACATCATGGACCACCTTGGAGTCTGTCCACTGCAGGTCCCAAGACACACAGGTCAAGTGTTTCCATTTTTAAAAAAATCCAATAATTCAATGCCCAATATAATCTTTTATGTATATATGTAAATGTTCTCTTTTTTCTTTAAAAAAAGAGACAAATAAGGT